CAAGAAATCGTACAGATTTTATTTTGTTAGAACGGTGCAAGGATTATCTGAATTTAACAGGTTACCTGTGATAATAAAAAATTGTGATAACCTAAACCAGTTCAAATGTCTCATAAGAAAATTTGTTTTAGATAAGAGTTAGTAATTAGTTGTATTTTGTTTATTTCAATTTTGCACATTTTAGCCCGATTTTACCTACTTTGTTCCATTTTATTTATACGTTTTATTTTTTTTTACATTTTACTACGTCAAGTTTTATCTCTATCTAGTTTTTAATCTAATTTTATCTGCACCCCTTATATTTGTATTTGTATTCGTGGTATTATTTTTAAATTAGGCTTTGTAGGTTTATTTCGATTCTTTTTGTTTTGTGAACTGTACTTGTTATTTAATTTTTGCATATGAAAACACAATGTTTTTTTTCTATTTCTATTATTGTAATAAGGCAAACTTATGCTAAATAAATGCTAAATGCGTTCAAGAATTTCGAGATAAGGTATCACCAGTGCAAAATGCTGATGTACAAAAAACGAAAAATGTGTTATTCAAATTTTTATAAAGCCGCCGTTTGGGGGATCCGGACCCCAAAACCTCTCCTTGTGCACGAGCCTGCGAAGAATGTTTGATCATCATCATTCACATTCCGTATAATAGGGGACAGGACTAAAAGAAGACTTAAACCTCGACCAAAACTCGCCAATTAGATACATATGATATTATTTGCCACCAAAAAAATTTAAAACTGAAAACATAATTATAGTACTGGTAGGTGTCGACCATGAACAGTATAAACTCAGTAGATTAACCGTATTCTAATTACACAGGTAACATTAATACACATTAATACTTTATATTAATCATATTATAAAACTGAAATGTCTATTTCTTATTTTCGCGAAACGGTCCAAAACTGCATCAATATCTAGTTTTACATTTCGATGAACATGTAATAATGCCAATCCTACTAGTCTTTCTTGACTTGTAGTGGTTCTAGGCCAAGTCTTTAACCTTTTCAATGTTGAAAAACTACGTCCGGATGATGCCACAGAAACGGGCATAACACAGATCAAATATAGGGCCATATAAATATTTGGATCTCATCGCAAGCTTTTAAGTTAAAAAATGCACAATCGGGTAAGTTCACTCCATTCTCCCATTTTTTTAACCACAGATCTTTGTCTAAATATCGTACTACAAGAGACATCTGAGAAACATTTGCTATATCCGTAGTTTCATCAAACATGCTGTAGAATTTCGATTTTTTTACCTTTTCCACTATAGAGCACAGTATTTGGTCACGACAACATTTTATAAGCTCATTTTGAGTAGAAGCGCTAATATATTTTGTACGAGTCGCTGCTGATCCAAAATGATTCTTCAGAACAAAGTCGTCTCCACAGGAATCTATTCTATATCGCAAAATTTCCCGAAGATTGCCTTCGTTTATAACCGATGGCTCAGTAAGATCAGATTGGACAGCATGGTCTCTTAGTGGCATGTTCTGTCTTCCTAACAGAACAATTGTATTTAGTATCGTTTTTAGCTTTGTTCTGTTTTCTTTAATTTGTTCCAAACGTTTAGAATCTAACATATTTACCACCTCGTTGGCTGGGTTATTGTAAGTTTTATTGAAATTATCTGCAATAACCATTGCTTCCTTGTGATATTTTGAATTGTTGTGGAGTATCAAATCGCCATCTTTAGCTTAGAATATTTTCGTAATGGAACTGTAACAAGTTTTCGAAGAGGGGTTGCTTTATGCACACTACCAAATTTTGCAAATAAAACACAATATTTACAGAACAGGCCGTTTGAACTGTCAGAAATAGTTTACCAAGAGAATGAATTGAAATGATTAGAAGACAGATATCATTTTACTTCCCTGTTCTGTTTTGTATGGGTCGAATGGGGAAACTGGAATTCCTTTCCGGGAACAAACGCGTTTTTCAATGCGTTATATTTCTCTAAGTCAGAAATTTTGCGATGGTTGACATATTTTCCTAAGTCAACTGCAACAGCGCCTAAAATTTCATTGTTGGCTTTTTCTTCTTCATTATTTTCACATGTTTCTGGAGATGGATTACTGGTTTATTGATTTAACTTGCTAATATAGCTTGTTTTAGAAGTTTTTGGTTCACTCGGGTAATCTTTTCCAAAAAACTTTGTCTTTTTATTAACAAACATGTCTAATGTTTTTTGGCCAGTGCGTTTATTCATTGTGCTGCAAGAAAAAAGGCATTGTAATAATTGTTTGCCAGATCATAGATTAAACAATCGGCCGCGAGTACATAACTTGTTTGGCGAGATTGGTTCAAAACAATTTAACAATACATTTTGAAAGAAGAAATAGAAATAAAAAACGTATTTATTGGCAATAGCATTTTGAAATATGTACAGAATATATTATATCATATCATATATAAAGTATTCTATCATAGTCTGTTTCTATACCTACGTCTCGTATAAATATATTTTTATAGGCAATAGCATCGTAAGGCACTTATACAGAATGTTTCATAACTTTTGGATTACCTGTTGCACAATACAATAAGCAATTTGAATCAGAACCGCCAAGAAGTTGACAATCCGACAAAGCTAATAAAATCACCGCGTGTTACATTATTTTTACCTTCGTTCTTCGTAGTAATGTGCACTAACAAATTCCCTCAACATAGTCAAGTCCTTTATTTTACCTCAATTCCAGAACTGCACTCTACATTACAAAACATATCGTCTAGTATCTACTAAAGAAATTGTGTTAAAGACTAGATAAATTCAAATAGCCAAGACCTAACCACGTGGTGCGCTGTTGCCATGTTGAATATATAAAATTAGTTTTACGTAAGACATTGATTTTTTTGGTACCTTTTTCCGGTAAACAGTAGTCTTGGGAGGGGGGGGGGGCGGTAATTACCCCCATTACCCCCCCCTTATCTGGACTCGGTGTTCTTAGTTTTTTGTATATCATCAGAATCACGCATCTTATGTGTGCAAATGTGATTTCATCGAAACATGAAATATTAAGGATTTTATGTGCTTAGATAAATCACCCTGTATATGCGTAAAAACTGAATCCGGATTTGTTTATTTTCAGATATTTTACTATGAACATTTCCTCACGGAAGATTGTGTATATTAAAAACCACAAGCTTTGAGAAACACTATATTTCAGTAATTTTGAATTCATATCTTCTGTTCAAAATTGAAAGTGTATACTTCCATACCTAGTATCTAACCAACTTGGGCAGTGTTTGTTTTCGTATAGAGTCTTTCTAATATTTTTCTTTTTAGTAGGACGCTCGTAAGGAAATATACAGGGTACGGCAGAGAGGACGAACGTTTTTGGGATGGGTAGTACTCTCCGCCTCCGTCTACGAGAGATGTGGGGAGGGTGCCGTTTGACTCGTGAGACCCTAGCATTATTTCACCAGTTGTCGTTATGGAGCCTTGGACGGTGGAGCACCGCGTTTTCGCCTATGAGTGACGAAGCCCACTTTCACCTAAACAGCAGAAATTGTCGTTATTGGGCTAATGAAAATCCTCAACAGTTACACGAAAGACCGCTGCACAGCCCAAAAGTAACGGTTTGGGCCTTACTTCTTCGAAGTCGGTAATGGTCGTGATGTAACCGTGAACTCAGAGCGCTACGTCGACATGATCAGCAACTTCTTTCCCCCTGAATTACGACGGCGACGTGTGCCAATCCGACGTGTGTGGTTCCAGCAGGATGGGGCGACCGCCCACACAGCCCGAGCCTCCATGGACGTTATTCGCCCTCTTTCCCCTGGTCGCCTTATTTCCAGGTTTGGCGATGTTCATTGGCCTCCTCGGTCCCCAGATTTATCCATATGCGATTTTTTCTTATGGGGACACCTCAAGGCTAGAGTATACGCGAACAAGCCCCGAAGTCTGGACGAATTGAAGGGCGAAATTCGCGTGAAAGTCGCCTAAGTTGAGAGAGCGATGTTGGAGCGAACTTCCAAAAACGCCTCCAGCACTGCATCAACGATTTCGGCCACCACATGCCTGATGTGATTTTGCACACTTGACTGTCTCAATTGCTAGTTCCTTGTGAACCTGATTCCATCAATAAATTTGTTTTCGAGTAAAAATTAACTATTTTATGATTCTTTTTAATACCGTCCATCCTCTCTGCCGCACCCGATATAAATGTAAAAGGGGTAAGGTCAATCGATCCTATATCAATGTCCACGACTTGTTGAAAAACAACTCTAATGATCCCATCTTCATTAAAGGATGCCTAACTGGTACCATTACACAAAATAGTTTGATCCAATATAAAAATAGAATGAATTCACCTTTATTACTACTATAATCAAAACAAACATTATTGAAATATAAATGACGACATTATAGGTCTCATTCGAGGAAAAAAGTCCATCTACCTTGATCAAATTATTGTGAGTATATTATAACCAATTGATGAAAAATTGCCTTTGATATTGCGTAACTAGTAATTAGATCACGCGCTCATTGCATACTATTTTTCCATTACCCTTTCAACAGTTTGGTACAAGTTCAGCCGAACAATGACTATTATCGACGAAGGGTCACTATGCCAGGACTTTGCAGGATTTGTGGCTTCATTGGCGTACACAGAACCCAAGTTTGGCGGGAGTGGGTGATAGGTTTGCGGGGAGACATAGTAACGGCAAAAACTGACAACTTGATCAGTATTTTCTACTGTTTTGGAGTGCAGGGGTAGGCGGAATCGTTCTGCCTGGGTTCATCCTCTATATACACCACACCGTGAGGTACATCTTAGATTAATGGGACGACTTTTCGAAACATTCAGACTATACTTATTTCTGTTTTGAAGAGTTTATGGTTAATCATAGTATATTTCTAGTTTTCAGTATACTCAAATACACATACGTATACATAGTGAATGGTACTCAAGGCAACTTTGAGTATCATTTCCTCTAATACCGCAAATTCTTTCAGTGACTGCGGTTTTACAACATTATTCTTATTTACAGACGAAATAGCAGAAAGCACGAACAACCAAAACATAATAGTGAAAAAACTAGACTTGTCATCGCAAAAATCTATCAGAGAATTCGCAGAGGATGTCCTAAAAACTGAACCAAGATTGGATGTACTGATTCACAATGCTGGTACAGCAGAGAGCAAGTTTCAACTTACAGAAGATGGCATTGAGCTTACAATGGCAACCAATCACTTCGGGCCCTATTTGCTCACACATTTGTTGATTGGTAAGTACTCAGGCTGAACGACAACTCAAAGCGACCAGAAATCCACCGGATATTGGGAGCAAAAATAAAATTTTTAGTAGAAGGCCACCAGATTGGTTTTTAGTATTTGAAAGTTAAATAAAATGAATATATTATTATTGCTGTTTTAGTTTTAGATGTTTGAATAAACGGGTTTTCTGGAATTCATTTTAGTAATTTCAGTAGTAGAAGAATGAGTAACTATTTTTGAGAAATGATTGAAAATGTTTATTAAACACGTAGAACATTCCAATTAACGTGGTAATTTAAAAAAATGACAGTTTCACTCATAATTCAGAAATGAGTGAATCACATGTGTCGGTGAAAATGAAAATTCTATTCGACTTAAAATTATTTTGAAATATCAAAATATTTTTTCAATCACTTAGTACATAATTTTGGACGAACAAATTGGGTGCATTTAAAACCTGTTTTAAATAATATCATGCTAAACGTGCGTAGACGCCTATTCCGCATTTGGAGCAGTACATTGTGAAAACTTCTTAATATTCTTGATGAGATGACAATTGGTTGATAGAAACAAACCTAACCTCAAACTCCTTATCAGCTTTTGTGATTAGCTATGCTCATCAGTTTTGCGGATATATCCTGCTTATGCTGCCCTTCTTCTGGATTGAAAAACTTAAAAGCTGTCATGGTAAAAAGAGCAGTGTGACATATTACTACACGAGTATGAGAAATACGTTGGATAAAATCAGAACGACTTTAGAACCAAACAGACCTATAAGCCAGTGGATCCTCCACCAGAAGTTCTTTATTCAGCACGCTTATACCCAAGACACTCTCCCTGATCCATTTTCGACATCAAATTCTTTTAGGGTTTCGTTTACATGGTTTTTCATGAGGTGGGCAGCTACGACGCAGATAGTTGCTGCCGGAGTCGCGTATAATATATGAGGCCCCTATTTCCAAAGGTGGCGAAGTCCAAAATTGATAGTATTAAGAAAAAGGCGAAAAACTGTAACTCTTACTATACAGGGTGGCGCATCGAAAACGAAACAGACGCATTTACTGGCAGCTCAGTTTTTTTAAAACGCTCAGCTCGTCGATTTTGTTTTCGAGGGGGGCACAAGTTTGGCAAAAAATCACGTTAGCCCGTGCAGCCCCCTAAGCGGGGGTGACACCACCCCCAAAATCTTAAATGGAAAGGGGGGTCGAGTGATACCTTATTTTAAAGATCTTTCAATTCCCTTCATAATGATATAAAATTAATGTACTTCAGTTCAGTAGTTTTGAAGATTTATTGATTTAAAGCTTAAATAAAACTAATGCATCATCATTAGTGGAGATCAATACATTTGGCAGCAAAGTAATTTGAAAACGAAGAATGAACTGACCCGTTAGACAAGTAAATGTTGAAAATGGCCACCATGACTCTCCATGCAATAATAAAGATTTTGCTCAAAACGTTGCCGCACATTTTGCAATATTTGAGGAGTAATTTGAAGGCACTCATTCACAATTCTTTGTCGCAGGTTTTCTAACGATGTTGGCTGAGTACCATATATTTTCCTTTCTAAATGACCTCACATACAGATCTTGGGGGCCATTTAATGGCACCTCTTCTACCAATCGATCGATCTGGAAACGTCTGATCAAAATATTGTCGAGCACGTAGTGCGTGATGTGGTGGGGCACCATCCTGTTGGAACGTCAACCTATTCGCAATGTAGCGCCGATCATTCTGATTTTCAATTATGGCTGTTAATGCAGGATCTATGGCATCTTCCAGTAATTCCAAATATATTTCACCATTATTGAAATAATGAGAACCTTTTTCTTTATTTGTTCCCACCGCTTTCTGGACATGGAGTCGGCCGCCTGTGAAACTCTGGTGGCAGAACTCCAATAAAGTCTATGCCTCGGTAAACCAAAAATCGACATATAAACAACAGTTCCTAAGAAGACTTCTAATTCAGATCGAGCAAGGTTGAGCGGTCTATTCGGGTCAACTTGGCAAGCGTATAAATTACTTTGTTCTACAATTTGATTTAATAGCTCATCTGAGAAAAATAACTGGAAATAGTGTATGGGTTTTCCTATTTCAGGCTCGTCGTCTAGGTTTTGTGACGTAAATGGCGTCAAAGAAACACTCACTTTGCCTTCCCTAACTTTATTCCATTGATATTTTGGTGTCCCCTTTGCAAAAAAATTGCTCAGTGGTTGGTCATCTTCTGAATCGTCTTCACTGTCACTACTTGTAGAGTTATCTGAGCCTGGCTTGGACGGCACATATTCATCGTCACAATCGCTCAGATTCTCATCTTCACTATCGCTTGGTAAATACACCATCGTTTACTGAAACAAAATATACTAAGTGACATATAAATCCGAACACCCAGTTTAAATGGTTTTATTTTAATAAAATTTTGTATAAGTACTTAATGAAGCATAATAAGTAAATGATAAAAATTTCAAAATGATTGCACTGCTTTAAAGCCCTTTGACCTTTAGTTATGTGTGGATGCACCCTGATGTGCTACGCATTCTCCAACGCGCCTAGGCATGCTTCTGATCAGGTGGTCAATGTCCTCCTGTGGTATCTCATTCCAGGCAACCACCAACTCCTCTCGAAGTGCTTCTAGAGTCTGAGGAGGACGTTGCAAATTGAGCAATCTAATCCCACACGTACTCAATTGGTGGCCATGGTAACAATGTGACATCATTATGTTGAAAGAAGTCTATTGTGACTCTTGCAACATGTGGTCGGGCATTATCTTGTTGGAAAGTTGGATCTGCCAGGGTGTCAAGGTAGGGTAAAAGATGGGGTTCTGGAACTTCGTGGATATAACGCTGCGCGTTCATGTTACCTCTGATGAAGATTAAAGGTGACCTGGAACCATAAGCTATAGCACCCCAAACCATAACTCCAACAGTGTGATGAACATGTCTTTCAACAAAAAACTGTGGATTCTTCCTTTCACCACGTCGCCTTCTAACCCTGGCACGACCATCGTGCATGCCTAAACAAAATCGAGACTCGTCACTAAAGACAATACTGTTCCATTCCTGATCCCAGAGTGACCGTTGTCTGCACCACTCAAGGCGATTACGTCGGTGTTCTCGAGTTAAAGGGAGGACCCAGTGTGGCCGGTATGAAAACAAGCCAAAACTTCTCATTCGTCGGTAAACACTTCGCATGCCAATAGGTCTTCCGTGTTCTGCAAACCATTCATTTGCAATGGACCTGGTAGTGGAGAAACGGTCCCTTAAGGCCAATAATCTTAGGCGGCGATCTTCACGGTCTGTTGTTCTACGGCGGCGTCCAGTGCCCCTTGCTCTTTGCGTACGGCCTTCTCGAAGCCATGCCGGACCATGCCTAACCACAGTGTCTACAGTTCTTTGCACTCTAACTGCAATTGCCCGAAAAGAAAGTCCAGCTTCCCGAAGTCCCACTATACGGCCCCTATCAAACTCACTAAGTTGACGAAATCGTACAGGTCTCCGTACTCTAGGCATCGTAACCGATCGTAAAGGATGTCAAGAACCAAAATCCGCCAACGTTGATTCTTTACTGCGGCTGAAATATTCATTTTTAGAGTGTTAGTGAATTAAAAAAAAAGCAGTATAAAAACCGGATTGTCCAACTGATAAGGCTGAAAATTTTTTTACTTGTTATTTACAGTAAGATAAATACATTCACCAACTTTTATTAAAATAAAACCATTTAAACTGAGTGTTCGGATTTATATGTCACTTAGTATAATAAAGCACTGTGAAGGACTAACTTGCCCAGTGTTCCATATTTATATACGTATACTAAATGTCTATTGTTCCTCATCTGGAACTATGAAAATATTTACGTTATCGGCTCTTCTAATAAGAGTTTTTGTATTCAATTTATTTTGAAACTATACTACAATAATCTACTGACTCACCTGTATTTATTTTACGCTATAAAGTAATCAAAAAACACAAAAAAAGCCTTTCAGAAAACGATGCACCTAACCAACAACAACAAATGATGACATTCTGCCAATATCTCGGCGTCGGGTTCATCGATGGCGTAAGACGTCACCTTTATTACACAATATTCATTGGTACATATAAGGAACAATGGACTATTGGTGAAAGTTGAATCATTTTGACTAAGATTTTTTCATTTTGAATTTTTGAAATCAGTGTTCCAGTTTAGGAACATGAGCCGTTAAGAGGTTAACGTAGGATCTACATAAACTTGCCCTAAAACCCCCACTTCTATTGCTTCGTTCCTTATGGGATTTTCAATGTTGCGTTTTTTATTGGCAACTGACCCAGTTTCTAGAAATTTAGCTACAAGTTCTAGAACATATTTTCGATGCGCGTTACTGTTCTCATGTCGCTCATTAAATATTTTTGCTGTTCTAATAGCGCACTGATTATTTCCGAAAAATATTTCGATAATTTCAACTCTTTCTCCTGTGGAATATACCATGGTAAATTTATGTAATAAAGCGTTACAAGTTATTTTAGCAACAGAGTTTGCTCAAATCAATCGCAAACTACGTACTAAATTCCTATTTAAAATAAGTACGAGATATTTCCTTATCTTTCTTCAAGAAATAACTTTTTTGCCACCCGAATTTTAATGTCAACTCAGTATCTACCAGGTATTGAAATGAAATTCGTGTGTATTATTTTCTGATGTATTGATGTATTAACATTAGATTACTAATATAACAAAAAAGAATAAAAAGAAAATCACACATTTTTTGTTATAAACTGTTTCGGTTACATCACCTTAAAACTTAACTTGAATAGTGAAAAGTCCTTTTTTTGTTAAAAACGAATATAAAAAACTATCATACAATATCACCTTCAAAACTGAACCCAGTATTAGCAAAGCACACACTATTGTCATCGGCATTTTCTTCTGCTTGTGTTAAACTTTGTTGATTATCCATTACAGTCTTATAGTATTCCAATTCGAATTCTTCACTTTTTTGCTTCCATGCCGTTCCAAAATGTTTTGTCAAAAGTTC